ACCCCCCTTGCATCCAAGCCACAGAGGGGGGGGCTTTTCCCAAGCTCGCGGCTGCATCAAGCCATGCAGAGCCCCAGGCGCTGCGCCCCAGTGCTGTGCCCCTGCTCCATGCCCGTATGGGTGGGTAGAGCTCAACCTGAGCACGCTGAGCTGTGCTGGGTGCTGGCAGCACCACCGCACTCTCCCCATGGGTCTGAAGAGCAGGGAGAGCCTTTAGGGGTGCACCTCCTGGGGGAGCTGAGAGGATGCTCAACTGAGATGCCATCAGATGCTGGCTGCTTGCGGGAGCTTCACATCTGCATTGGAGGGCAAGGTCTGGCCACCCCGGTGGTCCCTGAGGCCCGTTCCCTCCTGGCAGGCTGACATTGAGCAGCTGGACCCCCGAGGACGCACCCCACTGCACCTGGCCACCACGCTGGGCCACCTCGAGTGTGCCAGGGTGCTGCTGAAGCATGGTGCTGACGTGGGCAAGGAGAACCGCAGCGGCTGGACGGGTGAGCCTCGGTCCTCCATCAACCTGCCCCAGCATGGGCATGGGCATGGGCATGGGCATGGGCACACTCAATGGTGCAGCTCCCCAGGGGACTGCTCACATGGTGCTGGTGCATGCGTGTGGCCACCTCTGCCGTGCCACAGCCCTGGGCAACTGCCCCCCTCTTCCCTGCAGTCCTGCAGGAGGCTGTGAGCACCCGGGACCTGGAGCTGGTGCAGTTGGTCCTGCGCTACCGCGACTACCAGAGAGCCATCAAACGCCTGGCCGGGATCCCCATCCTGCTGGAGAAGCTGCGCAAGGTATCCCCATCCCTCCATCCCACGGGAATAGCAGGGTGGGATGGCGGGCAGGGGGATGCTGGCTCCTCCTGACCCCGCTGGGCTCTCGGCAGGCCCAGGACTTCTATGTGGAGATGAAGTGGGAATTCACCAGCTGGGGTAAGCTCGGGGTAGAGCATTGGGGTGGGAGCGGGAGTCCCCCTGCCCCAACATCCATCCCCATCCCCGGGATGGTGGACGCTGTCCCCCCGCTGTCTCCCCGTGCACCCCAAGCTTGCAGCCCCCTGTCCCCAGATGCATCCCCCCCCCCCAGCTCAGTGCTGTCAGCCCACATCCCTGGCTGGGCTATCACCGTCTCCCCCCAGTGCCGCTGGTGTCCAAGATCTGCCCCAGCGACACCTACAAGGTGTGGAAGAGCGGCCAGAACCTGCGGGTGGACACGACGCTGCTGGGCTTTGACCATATGACCTGGCAGCGGGGCAACCGCAGCTTCGTCTTTAGGGGGCAAGGTGAGCCCGCAGCAGGACCCCCCGGTACCCTCAGCGGGGAGCACTGCGGTGCTTGGGTGACGCGGTTGTGCTGACCCTGCTCCCTGCAGACACCAGTGCGGTGGTGATGGAGATCGACCACGACCGGCGGGTCGTGTACTCGGAGACGCTGGCCCTGGCCGGGCACGACCAGGAGGTGCTGCTGGCTGCTGTGCAGCCCACCGAGGAGCAGGTGATGGGGCGGCTCACGGCGCCCGTCGTCACCACGCAGCTCGACACCAAGAACATCGCCTTCGAGAGGTGGGCTGGGGGCAGCACCGGGTTCATCCCTAGGGCTGGATGGGTGAGACCAGCCATTGCTCACTGGGTTGTGTCACCCAAGGAACAAGTCCGGCATTCTGGGCTGGAGGAGTGAGAAGACAGAAATGGTGAATGGGTACGAGGCCAAGGTGAGGGGCAGGGGTTGAGCTGCCTGAAGGGATATGGCTGGTTGTGGGTTATGGGGTATCCACGTCAGCCATTCCCCCCCCTCCTCATCCAGGTCTACGGCGCATCCAATGTGGAGCTGATCACGCGGACACGGACCGAGCACCTCTCGGACCAGCACAAGGGCAAGAGCAAAGGTGGAGCTGGCACGGGCTAGGGGGGGCAGAGCATCGTGCCTGCTCTTGCCCTCACCCCCTCATGTCCCATAGGCAGCAAAACCCCTCTGCAGTCCTTCCTGGGCATCGCCGAGCAGCACGTGGGGCCCAACAACGGGGTGAGCATCCCATGGGTCTGGGGGGTGCCCCCACAGTTGGACACCCCCCTCACCCCGCTGGGCCATCCCATAGACGCTGATCACGCAGACACTGAGCCACGCCAACCCCACCGCCATCACCCCGGAGGAGTACTTCAACCCCAACTTCGAGCTGGGCAACCGGGACATGGGGCGGCCCATGGAGCTCACCACCAAGACACAGAAGTGAGGGGGCAAGGAGCAGAGTGGGGACCCCCTTATCCTTCCCCCCGTCTCCTTGCCCGCTGCAGAGCCCCCCACGGTGGGGCAGGCAGGGGGTCCCCAGCCCGGCGCCTGTCCCCGGCAGGTTCAAGGCGAAGCTGTGGCTGTGTGAGGACCACCCGCTGTCCCTCTGCGAGCAGGTCGCCCCCATCATTGACCTCATGGCAATAAGCAACGCGCTCTTCGCCAAGCTGCGGGACTTCATCACCCTGCGCCTCCCGCCCGGCTTCCCCGTCAAGATCGGTACGAGGAGGGGGTCTTTTAGGGGTGCAGGTGACGCAGCCGCATTTCCCCCCTGCTTTTTATCCCTTTTCCCACAGAAATCCCCATCTTCCACATCCTCAACGCCCGCATCACCTTTGGGAACCTCAATGGGTGCGATGAGCCCGTCAGCTCCCTGCGGCACAGCCCCAGCAGCGAGGCCCCTTCACCCAGCAGCGACTCTTCCAGTGTCAGCAGCTCCAGCTCCCTGAGTACGTGGGGTTAAGGGGGGACACGGGTGATGGGGTGAGGGGGGGGGCACGCAGAGGGGTACCCAGCCTTTTGGTGCCTGCATCCCATAGCCTCATGCCGCGCGTGTGAGATGGATCCGGCCCTGTTCGAGGTGCCGCGGGGGTACAGCGTGGTGGGGACGCACCAGGACGCCCTGCGGGAGGATGAGGATGATCTGCTGCAGTTCGCCATCCAGCAGAGCCTGCTGGAGGCGGGCAGCGAGTATGACCAGGTGGGTACTGACACCCCTCCCCCAGCCTCCCATTGCCCACCCCATCCCGATGCTGCTGCGGGAGGCTCATCCCACCTTACCCCATCCCTGCATCCCGTGGTGATGGGTCAGCGCTCATGCCATGGAGCTATATTTTGGGGTGCTCGGGACAAAACGGGTGCCGCCCTCTGACCCCCCCCCCCCCCCAACCCCCGTGCCACCATCCATAGGTGACCATTTGGGAAGCGCTAACCAACAGCAAGCCAGGCACCCACCCCATGTCCCACGAGGGCCGCCGCGGAGACAGGTTGGTAAGGTCCAGCCAGCCCCCCCCCCGGGGCAGTGGGAGCGGGTGCTGGCTCCACAGGGACCCCCATTGAGACCCTGCCACCCCCAACCCCCCCAGGACTCCCCAGCACACGGCAGCGCCCCGGCCCCCCGCTGCCCCTGCGCCGGGGGGGGGCCGGGGGCCCAGCGCGCTGTTCCCCAGCTACGCGGAGCAGTTGCGCTTGGCCATGGCGCTGTCGGCGCGGGAGCAGGAGGAGGCCGAGCGCAGGACGCGGCAGGAGGAGGAGGATCTGCAGCGGATCCTGCAGCTCTCGCTGACGGAGAAGTGACCCCGCACCCCCACTGACCCCCCCCCCCTCCATCCCGAGGGGGATGCGGATGCGGCCGCGGCCGTGCGTGGGGGCACAGAGGGGGAGCGGGGTGGGGGGAGGCAGCCCAAGCACTGCAAGCGGGGAGGGGGGGTGCAGGGTTTGGTCTTGGTGTGGGGGAGATCACCCCCCAGAGCTGGGGTGCAGGGGGGGCGCCCCACGGCAGGATAGGGTGGGGATGGGGGGCAGCCCTGCAGAGGAGTGGCAGGGACCAGGGGGGGCAACCCTACAGACTGTACCCACCCCTGGGACCCCCAACCGCACTATGGGGTGCTGCTCGGCCCCTCGCCCTAGGGAGGCGGTGGGGGGCACATCCTGCCCCACATGGGGGTCTGCCAGGTGTGGGGGGTCCCAGGCTGTCCCCTAGAGCTGGGTGGGGGCTCTGCCCGGCCCCCCCGAGCCCCCTCAGCCCAGGCGCTACCAAGTGCACTTACCCGGGAGCTGCTCTGCCTGCCATGGGAGGGGCTCAGCCCCATTGCACCCCACAGCCAGCGTGGGGACCCCCACCCCAGTGCGGGGGTCCACTGGGGCAGCCAAGGGGGTGCCTGTGAACGGCCACCCGGTGTCACCCCCCTTAACCCCCTGCTTGCGTCCCACCTGCCCTGCTCGGATGCCCCCCCCCTTGGCAGCGCTGCACCCCCTCATCCCGGGCACTGACCCCGAGACAAACCTTATGTCAATGGTGCTAACCCCCGGGCTGCTCCTCCTTTGCACATGGGGGGCTGGGCGCAATGGGGGGGGGGGGGGACCGGGCTCGCTCCACTGGGACTTTTCACAGCCGGTGCCCCCCCCTCCACCCCATGCACCCCACAAGTGACATCTGGGCCAGGGCCGGGGGAGCCCGAGCAGCTCCCACCGCGGCCATCACCAATAAATGCTCTTTAATGTTTGTCTCTCTCGGCCTCTCTGTGCCTGCCCCGGGCAGGGGGGTGCAGGCAGGGCCCCCCCCTCCCCCGGCATGGCAGCCCCATGTCCCTGGTACCCGCTACACAGCCATGGGTGGCTGAGCCCTTTATTAAAGAGGGACCCAGGAGCAAAGAGCCGGGTGGGAGCAGCCGCCGAGGGGGGGCGATGGGGCAGTGGGAGGCAAAGGGGGTGATGGAGGGGGATGTAGCACCTGTACCCAAGCACATCCTGGCCATGGGGGGGGGGGTCCAACAGCTCCCTGTGCTGGGAGGATGCTGGCATCCGGCTTGCAGGTCCCTGAGGAGGGATGCTCAGCACCCCCAGCCTGCGGGCACTGAAGTGGGACCCCCTCGGGGTGCCAGGACCCCATCGGAGCAGGATGTGACCGATGCCATTCAGGGTTGGGGCCGGGGGGGGTGGGTCCAGGGTCTGTTCCCCTCCCTGCAGCCTCGGCTCCTGGGGAAAGAACACGGCTCTGGGCTCCTGCCCTCTGCGGGGACTCGGCTTTAATCCCCGGGGGGGCCGGGGCAGTCCTGGCCGTGGCCGCCGCCTCAGTCCGTGCCGTTGGTGAACTGGCAGAGTTTGTTCTCCAGGTCGGAGATGCGCTTCTCGTGCGCTTGGACCGTCTCCTTGAGGGCACGGATCTCCTCCAGCACCTCCTGCAGGGCTGGCTGCTGCTGGGGGACACACACACAGGGTCACCGGGGAGCCCCTTCCAACCCTGCCGCAGCATCCCCGTCCCCAGGACACTCACAGAGACGTTGGGGTCACAACCGGAGTGGCTGCGGCGGGGGCCGGGGGGGGGTTTGTTGTCCAGGATGTTCTTCTTGACCACCTTCAGCTCCCGGTTCTTGATGGGGACGTACCCATCCCGCAGCGAGATGAGGATGGGCTCCGCATCCTTCCCGGACAGCCACTCATCCGCCTCCAGTGCCGGCTCCGGGCCCGGCGTGTCGGGATACAGGTCATCCTGGAAGAGGTCTGACTGCGGGGCGAGGCAGGCTGCAATGAGACAAGATGTCCCCTCTTTCCCCCCCCCCCATCTCCCCTGGGACCCAAGGGGCTCACCTTGCGCGGCACCGTCATGACGATGGGCTCGCACTTGCGCTCATGCAGCTTGAAGAACCTGCGTGGGGCAGAGGCAGTCAGGGTCCAGCCACCCCCTTGTTACCCCTTTGGGTCCCCTGAGCCCCCCCTAAGCTCTTACCTGGCGATCTCACACTTGCTGACATCCAGCCCACGCTTGGGCATGAAGCCCATGCCCCGCTGCGGCTCCTTGCTGCTGTAGGTGTTCAGGTAGTGCACATAGGGCGCCTCATCCGTGATCTCAAAGTACCGGATGCTGCTGTCACCCTGCGGTGTGGGGACGGCTGTCAGCCAGCCCTGGCACCCCCACAGACACGGGTGGCATCGCGGGGTGCACCCCAGGACGGGTTTTACCTTGCCACAGAGGTAGACGATGCTGGAGTCAGCGTCATAGAAGGGCAGCAGGACCCCGTTGCTTGTGTCCATCTCCTGCAGGGCGATGGGCTCCTCGAAGTTGTTCTGTGGGGCCGGGGCAGTGGGGAGTCAGTGGCGGTCCCCAAGCCCCCGGCCATGGTTAGTCACACATTAGGCACAGCACTCTGCGGGGACAGGGCTTGTCCCCCCCCCGGGCACACACCTTGCCATGCCTCCACCCAGCACACCCTACCCTGCTCCTGCTCACCTGCATGACCGGCTGCACCCCATCCTTGTGCTCCCACCCCCCCAGCACTCCTTGCTCCCCCATCCCCAGCACAGCACAGCACACTTGGGAACTTGGCATGGGAAGGGGGCAGAGGTTTGGGGGGGGCCAAGTTCCCAGGGCAGCACTCCATGCGGCCTCGTTACCGGGTCCCACAAGCCCAGCTCCCGCTGGCTCATTCTGGTAAAGCCCGTGGTAAAGATGTGTCCTTCCCGCGTGAAGATGGCCCGCACGGGCCTCAGCCCTTCGTGGGGGGCAAACCTCTCCTGGGGGAAGGGGGAGAGAGTCAGCATGGAGCATGGGATGGGGGGAAAATGAGAGGGGGTCCGGATCCGTCCCCCTGAAGAGATGCTGAGTCCTGCTGCTGGGGAGTGCATGAAGCTCCTGGAGTGCATGTGCTGCTGGAGAGCATCCCTGGTACCCAGAGCATCCCTGGTACCCAGAGCATCCCTGGTACCCGGAGCATCCCTGGTACCCGGAGCATCCCTGGTACCCAGAGCATCCCTAACACCCGGTGCACCCCCGGCTTGGCTGAGCTCCATAGTGTCCCCAGAGCGGTGCTGGCCAGGCAGGAGCCGCTGTCTCATACCAGGTCCCAGAGGGCCAGCTGCCGCTCGCTCATCTTGCTGAAGCCGGTGGTGAAGATCTTGCCATCGGCCATGAAGATGGCGCGGATGGGGCGGACGCCGTCGTGGGGTTTGTCTTTCTCCTGCGCCGGCCGTTAGCGGGTTAAAACCAAACAGAGACGCGCGGGGCAGGGGGTTAGTAGGGTCAGGCAGGCACTGGAGGGGACCCCGCGGCGGGCTGGTGGGGGGGACACACTGGGGACACTCACCGCCACAACCTGCTGCTTGCGGGGGTCAATGATTCGGACCTTCTTGTCCTTGCAGGTGGTGACCAGGAGGCTGCCGTTGCGGTTCCAGCCCACGTTGTAGATGAGGTCGGTGTGCATGTCATCCAGCGCCAGCAGCATCTCCCCCGTGCCCACGTTCCACAGGATCACCAGGTTGTCGCAGCCTGTGGAGGACCAAAGGGGTAGAGAACATCACCCCACAGCCCCCCCCCCTCTGTACCCCGCGGAGGTGACCTGGGGGTCCCCTTTATACCTGCGCTGAGCAGCACGTTGCGGGCGGTGGGATGCCACGAGATGATGCTCACCCGCTTGGAGTGTCCCTCCAGCGTCACCACCGGCTCCGTGATGTTGCGCATGGGGACGTAGTCAGGGATCTGCCACACCTTGAAGGGGGGGGGACACACGGACAGCGGGGTTGGGATGATGGGGATCACCCCACACTGAGCACTAAGCGGATGAGGGCCTCGGAGCCAATTAACCTCATCCTTAATCCCGGCTCAGGCTGCAGGAGGGTGGCGAGGGGACAACAGCAGCGCCTCCATCCTGGGGTGCATCTCTCACAATTGGCGTGCTGATGGGCGCAGGGAAAGGGGTGCACCCCCAGTACCCCCCCCCCCAGCTATTCCTGGGTGCTGAGTCGCCGATGCGGGTATATTTAGCACAAAGTGCTGCATCATGGAGAGAGCAGCCGCCGCCAGCGTGAACGCATGGCACCGCGGCTAAAAATAGGGCAGTGACACTTCACAGGCAAGGGGATGGGGTGGGGGGGCGATGCCCTACACGGCTCCCCCCTGCGCCCACCACCCCCTTCCCACCCGGGTCTGCCCCTCTCACCATGACGGTGGTGTCCTCCGAGGCGCTGGCGATGACGTTGTCGTTATGGGGGCACCAGTCGATGTCCAGCACGGGCGCCGTGTGCCCCGTCACCAGCGGGTGGTTCTTGTCCACCCGTCCCGTCTGCAAGGCCCAGGTGCCCCGGTGAGTACCCAGCAGTGATGGGAGGGTGTGGGGGGGGAACGCTGCCAGGTGACCCCCAAACCCCAGCCTGGCCACAGCGTGGTGCTGTGGCACTAACAGGGACGTGCAGGGGGCCCAGAGCTTTGCCCCTGCCTTGAGGGGGGAAACTGAGGCACACAGTGGGCATGGGCTCACTGAGCATGAGGGCCTTAATGGGACATGGAGGGGATCAATGTGACCCAGGAGAGGTTGGTTTGTGTCCTTCTTGATGACAAGGAGAGATTGGGGACCCCCTCCAAGCCCCTCCGCTGGGGTGGGCAGCACAGACCCCAACCCACTGGGATGCTCCCTACGCTCCCAGGGAATTCCAGATGGGAAGAAAGCAGCCAGGGTTTCCTGCATCCCCTCAGGTGCCCTCAGGACATCACCCTTCAGGATGCAGATCAGCCCAGGCTGTCCATTCCCCAAGCACCCATGAGAGGATGGGGATACTGGGGCAAAACTGGGCAACTCTGGGGCCACAGCAGAGCCCATAAGCGCATCCCCCCCAATACATTCCATCAGGGTCCAGTCCCCAGCATCCTCCCCGCTCACCTTGGCAAGGGGCAGGACGATGAAGGCCCCCCCGCCACCAGACTCCACGATGATGGCCACGAACTTGGGGTTGACGGCGCAGAAGGAGCTGTCACACGTCACCTTGGAGACGCGGATGTCCTCGTACATCTGGTCGGCCTTCACCGGCTGCCCAAACACGTGCCGGAACTTGCTCTGGCGCACCACGCGTCGGCTCATGGCTGCGGGGTGCAGGGTCAGGCCATGACCCCCCCCCGGCACAGCAGGGAGGGGTTTTGGTGCCCTTATCACCGTGATAAATCACCCCTATCCTGGGCACAGAGGGACATGGAGATGGCAGGGATGGGGATGCAGGATGGTGTCTGATGGGGCCCTTATCCCATGCAGGGAGCGGGGACAGCCCCTGTGCTGCAAGCGCTGGGGATGGGCATCTTGTGGCCAGAGACACTTGATGGCTGGGCAGTGACAGGGTCATGCCATGATGCGCTGCTGTGCCCTGTGGCTGTGCCGTGTCCCAGGACCAGCACTGGGGTTGGCACATGGGCAGCTGCAGCAGATAAATGGGGCTGAGGAGAGCAGAGGGTGGACATGGAGGTGCCTAGCACCGGGTCACAGCTTGTCCCCTTGTGCCCCATTCTGCACCAGTGGCCCAAAGATACCTGTCTCAACACAGCAAGCAGGAGGGATGCTGTGCATCCAGCATTGCTTATCCCATGGGCTCCTGCTTGCCCCATGACATCCTGCATGTCATCCCTTCTGCATCCACAGCCCATTCCCCTGGCACTGGCCACAGCCATGCAGCCCTGTGGGTACCCCTGGGTGCAGAGGAGCCCCCCTGTGCTCACCATGGCCCCAGCGGAGTTGCCATCCCAGCCAGGCAGACTGCCCACCATCACCCATCTCTGTCCCAAGCCTCTGCTGCTCCTGGGACCTACCAGAGGGTACTGAGCCCCTCAGGACCCCTGGAGCTGGGGCTCTGCAGCACCCACGAGCTCTTTGGGGACCTCAACCATTGTCGGGGCTGTATCCAGCCACCAAACCTCATCCAGGAGCACCAGGCACCACTGCTGAGGGTGAGATAGGAGCAGATCTGCCCCTCCATGACCAGGCCAGTGGCTTTTGGCCAGGGCACGTGCAGCATCGAGCCAAGCCACATCTGCCCAGCCCCCGGGTGTCCCCAGGGGTTCTTGTGGCCCTTCAGCATCATCGCTGGCCTGGCAGAAGGGGCTGTGGGCTGGAGCCTGGCTACCAAGGGGGCTGGACACTGGCACTGGTGCTGTCAGCCCCAGGGCTGCAGGCATGGCCCCCAGCCCTGGGGAGGGGGGAGTGGGCTCCGTGGGGACACCCTTGGGGTACTTTGCAGCACAGTGGGAGCAGAGGTTGGGGTGTAGGGACACAGGGAGGGGGTGACAGCCTGGCTGGCTGGGCAGAGGGTGTGCAGGGTGCAGGCAGGGCATGGGGTGCAGGAATGGTGCAGGTGAGGAGCAGATGTGGTGCAGGCAGAGTTGAGCAGGGTGCAGGGTGCAGGCTGGGTGCAAGCAGAATTGGACAGGGTGCAGGCAGAGCTGAGCGGGGTGCAGGCAGAGTTGAGCAGGGTGCCGGCAGTGCTGAGCAGGGTGCAGACGGGATACAGGCAGGCTGCTAACGGTCTGCAGGCAGGGTGCTCGCAGGCTGCAGGCGCGACAGCTGGATGGGGTGCAGGCAGGGTCGGATGGGGTGCTAGCAGCATGCAGGCGGGGTTCAGGAGGGATACAGGCAAGGTGCAGGCAGGGTACATGCGGGATACATGCGGGATACAGCAGGACAGCCCCGCTCCCCGCTCCCCGGCCGTGCCATTACGTTGCCACGATTGAATCCGCAGCGGCTGCTCGGGAACGACCAGAGGTCACTGTCCAAATATAGCCATCTCCTGCGGGGCGGCGGCGGGCGCCGCGGGGCCGGGGCTGGGGCCGGGGTCCCTCCGCACCCCCCCTCCCGCCCCGTGCCCGCTCCCCGCTGCCCGCGCCCCGGCTCCCACCTGCGCTCCGCGGCTCCTGCGCGCTGCGGGCGCTGCGCCCCGCTCGGCTCCGCCCGGCCCGGCCCGGCCCCGCTGCGCTCCCCCCCGCACACCACGGCCCGGCCCGGCCCGGCCCCGCTCCGCCCGGCGCGGCTGCGCTCGGCTCCGCGCAGTGCCGCTGCCGCAGAGAACAGCTGAGCCGAGCCGGGCGCCGCGGCCGCCACAGCCCCCCCGCAGCGGGCACCGGGAGGTGGGGGGGGCCCGGCCCGGCCCCGCCTGTCCCCGCACCCCGCCCGGCCCCCGGCCCGGCCCCCTTTGGCCCCGAAAGCGGGGGGCCCGCACCCCCCCCCTCCCCGCACGGTGCATGGGACCCCTGCGCACTGCGCTGCAGCGGGATGGGGAGGGGGAGAAGCCCCTTTGCCCCCTCTGCGTCTTCCTACAGCGCTCTGAGAGACCACGGCGGGGGAGGGTCACCCCCCAGCACTCCGCTTCCATCACCCCGGGGTCAGTTCTGCCCAGGGCTCACGCGGGCACAGGGCTGATGGGCATCCCCGCATCCCTGCACTGGGTACCCCCGCATCCTGCGGCCAGCCCAGTCCCACCGAAGCCATGGCCATGGGCTGGCCCCAACCCCATGGGCTCATAACCTGCCCCCCCACGGAGCAAGGGGGCTGTAAGCCCATAGGGATGATGACCCCACATCCCTGCATAACGGGATGGCTACAGGCACATTCGGAAACCAGATTTGGAATTCAGCAGACGCCTGCCCCGCAGGGATGCCCTGGCCCAAGGGGATTAAGGGATTGTGGGGCTCGGGGACCGGTGGGAGGGGAGCTGCGGTTCCTGGAAAGGCAGCAAAGCCCTGGACCCTACAAGGGCACCGTGTGGAGCCAGGCAAGCATTGGCTGAGCCGGGCAGGAGGGGGCTGCTGGCAGAAAGGAAGGGAAAAGGTGACATCCCTGCTCGCCTGGCCAAAGGGGTGGCGGGGAGGGAGTGGGCTGCAGAGCCCCCCCTGCCTGCCCTGTCCCACTCTGCCCTTGGCCCCATGTCCTATATCCTCAACTCCAAGCCACTTCCCCAGTGAACGCAGGAAAGGGCCTGGGAAGCCTTTCCCCAGCCGGTTATTTGGTGCTTGGATGCGGCTCAGCTCCTTGCCTGGCCATGGCGGGGCTGGTCCAGAGTGCAGCTAAAACCTTGCACCTCCTTGCTTACAAACCAGGGGCCTCCCACAGCCCCTCTGCCTGTAACCACCACCCGCCGGCAGCATCTTCCATGGGGCTGCAGCAAGGTCTGGAAGAGCATCCTGCTTGGCAGCACAGCTCCGCGGTCCCTGCACGGATCACTTGGGACAGGATGGGTCCATCCACCCCTTCTGTGAACAACCCAGCTCGGGCTCCCCAGCCCCTGTGCTGACAGCAGCACGGGAGCACTCATTGCCCCCAGCCCCACAGAGGAGGCAGCAGGCCCGTGTCATCCTCAAAATAAAACTTTTATTTCTTCGGTAACAAGAACATTGAATCTGCACATCAGTGCACGGGTTCACATTTAAAAACAGCTGAGCACATCGGTCATAAAGTCTGGAGGGGGAAAGGGGACGAGCCCAGCCACCAAGGAAGAGCCAGGAGGAGCGGCTCCACCACCAGCCATCCCCGGGGTGATCCCTACGCACCAGCACGGGCGCCGCATCTCCATACAGGAGAACAAAAGGCACTGGCACCACCTTCTGTGCCAACGGAGCTGTCTGCACCTCCGGCAGCACTGGTCGGGGGTCACTACGAGCCTGGAGCCCTCCTGCACCAGCCCAGCGCCTGCCTCGGCCCCACACCAGCAAGGGCTCCGGGGGTCCCTCCCTTAGGGAGAAGCATTGGGGTGCATGGAGCTGGGACCAGATTAAGGCAGGGCGCACGGCGAGGGGAGCAGGGAGCCGTGGTGGGTATGGCTTCCTCCTGCTGCTGGGCTGGGAGCAGGAGCAGTGCCCCGGGGCCAATTCCCTCCTCCAGCACCCCTTCGCTGGCAAAGGGACCCGGGGCTCATCCCTGCCCCATCACCTCCTGAGCCCCTCCTGCCACCGCGCTGGGACCGTGCCCCCAGGGAAAGGGATTTGTACAGGTCACAACTTCTCAAGCAGACCAGACACACACACACACACACACACACACACACACAGAGAGCATCGAGTGCAACAGAACAGTGTACAAACCAGGGTCACACACACGCTATCCGCTTGTGCAAGGCTCACACGTTACAGTACAGCCGGGGCGGGCGAGGGCATGGCTGAGATATTGTACAGGAGTCCATGTAAACAACGCAGCATCCCCCAAGAGGGCTTTGCAAGACCAAAAGAACAGTTGCTTTGTACAAAAATGCCCTTAAAACAACACCTGTCTCCTAAAACCCCTCCATCAGCGAGCCTCGAGCGCCCCATGGTGCCTGGGGGGTCACAAGAAGCACTCCAAGGAAGCAGGGGTGAACCACCACACACCCATGAGCCACCAGCGTGAAGGGACAACTGTCCCCATGTAGTAACCTCTGATGCCAGGGGCTTGGTGGCTTCATTGCCCAGAGGCTGCATGGGATGTGTCCCTCCAGCCCCTTCCCCTTTCTGCCATCCAGGTCTGAGCCTCCAGCCCCCCAAAACCACAGCGATGCTGGGGACAAGGGGACAGCACCACACCTCCCTGCAGGGGCCTGTGCCCCTTGACTGCTCTCCCCAGCTGAAGCACCCAGACAGCAGCAGCGTAGGGGCAGGAAGCAGCATTTGTGGTCTGCATGGAAGAGCCTTTCTATAGGGAATTTCTCCTGAGATGGAGCTGGGCAAAGAAACCAGATCCCCTTCCTCCTCCTCCTCCCTGCTCAAGGGAACAAATGACACAGGGGGCTTCCCCCTCCCAAGCAGATCCTTGCCTCCAGGACATGCAGGCAGCCAAGCACGCTGCTCCCTCCAACGCAGGGCAGTCCTGTCCCTTGCAAGGAGCCTGTCCTTGGGGTTGGGAACGGTGGGCAGCGGGGTCTGGTGAGGTTTGTGGGGGAGGCAAGGCCTGGAGCTGTCCTTCACACGATGACATGAGCCACTTGGCCTTTCCTTTCGCCCAGCTCCAAAGCCAGCTGGAGCTGGCCAGGAGAAGCCAAATGTCTTTCCATGTCCCAAAGAAGGATCTGGCCTCCTGGGCCAGCGACTTGGGTGGCTTCTAGTGACCGAAATGGCCTGCACTGACGTGCTACGTGACCCAGGCTGGGCTACTTCGGGCTGTGCTCCAGCCTGCAGCTAGCACAGGTGACGGAGCCCAAGCCCCTTGGAAAGGAGGGATGAAGCACATGATGCTGATGCTGCTGCTGCTGGAGGGGACACACAGTCCCATGCTGTGGGAATGTGGGACAACCCCTGGGAACTACAGGAGGGCAGAGAGGTGGGATCCTCACCCATTCCCCAGGGCAGACACATGCTGCTTCCCAATACTCCACAGCACTCTGGTGAGGTCTGTTCCCTCTCCAGCTCAAGCTGAGTTTGCCCCAGCATCAGCACCGCTTTCTAGGCACAGCCTTTGCTGCTCCTCCCACTGTGTCCTCTCCATGCTGGGCTTTCAGCAGCTGGAGCCATTCTGCAGCTTCTCTCTGCTTTGCTCCTCCTCAGGGGGCAGATCTGGGCTAGGGCCAAGCACCAGCTCACACCATCTCCTGCCACAGACCTGCCATGGGATTGGAAAGCTCTGGATCCTGTCTGCAAGCGTCTTCCTACAGCACACACACAGGTTGCTGGTATGCAATGAGGAGCTTTGATTTAACCAAACTGCTTGGGAATGACGAAATCATTTGCTGGAGGCTGGAGCAGCCCCTGCAAACAGGGGTTCTCCAGGGAAGCAAGAACCTGCAGAATGGCTCAGAGCAGCCCATGGCTTTGCACATCCAACTGGCACGTCTGAAACCCAGCTTCCAGCAGGAGGGAAAGGGGCAGATGCACTGGGGTTCACCCAGGACCGGAGGAGAAGGGACACATTTGGCAAAGGCTGGCATGGAGGCTCACTTCTGGAAAGGGGAGACAGGTTCCAGTGTCAAACCCACTCCCATTTCTGGGCAGATTACGATGACCAGCACTGAGTTTGAGTAAGATGGGTTTGTTTTCCAGTTTACAGAATGCAGTCTTGCCCTTTTGAAAAAACAGAAAACCACATGGAAATGACAAAAAAAAAAAAAATCTCTATAAATACCATATATACAATTTAGGAACAAAAAAAAGGAATCCAGAGAAGCTCATCCCTCCAGGTGTTGGGAGTGACAGCAGAGAGGACAAAGCTTCGCATTCAGTAGGGCAAGGCATCGTGTAACAATAGGTTTGGGAGTGCCCAGAAGTGCCCGTGAGCAGAAGGGAGAGGAAAACTCAGGCAGCATGAGGAGACAAGGATGAGGCAGAGGGGAGGCAGCAGGAGAGCAGAGGACAGATGATATGGCCATGAACTTGGAAGGCCCACAGCAGTATTCAAGTAATGGGAGGGTTTAAACCCTAATTAGGTGTTTGTTTTAAAAGAACACTCTGGGGTCTCCTCCTCTCACACCATGGTTTGGGGCAGTTGAGAGCTTGGAGGTCACGGAGGAGCTCTGCATGACCTGCACCAGGAGGGGAGCACTGATCTGATCTCTGGGGTTTCGGGAGCCCATCCATCAGGATTTACCCACATGCTCCTTTGAGGATGCACCAGCTGAACCGAGCCCAGGGGGGTTGTCCTGTAGCAGCTTTGTGAGTGATCTGCCAGCACTGCGGAGTTCCAGTTTGCAGGAGTAAAAGAAAGGCCGAACAAAGGGACCTTGGCACAAGCCTTCACATTTATGGGGGCTCTGACCCCAGCAACTGCCCAGCACCATTTCAAAGCATGGGGAATACTCAAGTGAGGAGTTGGGATCCGGTTCTAAGCACAACCCCACCTTGCCAAAGCAAGCCAACACGCACCTTCACGTGATGGAAGTGTTCTTTTAAAACAAAGCACAACCAAACAAAAAGAACATTTGAGGTTATCTGAGTTCAAAAAACTTAAAAAACCCAAACAGTCCTGCAGTCAGAGTCACACACAGAAGAACCAACCCACACCTACATGCGCCAGGAACAGTAAAATGACAATATATATATATAAAATTAACCAATAAAGTGCATGTTCCTTATATTACACCTGCCCCT